TAGAAATACTAATATATATAATCCAATAATAATTAATATAAATCTTATCCAATAAGATTGTTCATTAAAAGTCATATCATGACAGTATAATATTTCACTTTTTTAATAAAGAAAGAAGCTATATTACTTTTACTTGATTTTTGTCACTTTTTGAACAATATATTATTATATATATTCAACAAATTATTATATAAGAATTAGAAAAGACTAAAATTACTGAAAAATTATTAGAAATCATAATGAATAATATAATATATTTATAATAATTGCAATTCAAAAACTTAAAGAAAAGCTGAAAAATATTAAATTTATATATTAATATTATTTAATATATAGTCAAATCCCTTTATAGTCATATTTATTTATAGTTATATCTCTCTATAGTCATCCTATTTTGCTTTTTTATTTATATATAAATATAGTAAAAAAATTTTTTTATAGTTACATTCTCTCAATAGTTACCAAATTTTGTTTTCTTGAAAATGATGACTATAAAGAGATTTGACTGTATATAGTTAATTTGCTTTATAACAATTTAATATATAATAAATTCTCTTAATAATAAATAAAGTTTTCAAAATTATCATATAGAATATATATTTATTATATATACTATATAATAAATTTATTTTATAATAATCAAAAATTCTCAAAATCATATCAGTATTATAATAAGATTTGATTATATACTTAATATTATTATATAATATAAATTATAATTGCAATATCTATTATAATAAAAGTATATATATTTGTAATAAATATATATTAATTAACAAAATTATATAATTTATTAAGAACAATATACAAACTTAAAATATTATTAAAATAAAATCTAATTTAGATGTTGAAACTTAATGAAATAGCTTATTTAATATTAAAAAATTTTTATTACATATATAATATTCTAAATATTCTTATTGCTAAAAATCAGAATTTTACTAGTATTTATTTACAAGCAAATAATTTATTAAAGATTAATAATATGATTTAATTACTCAAACCAATTTTGATTGCAATTAAAATATCATTATTTTCTATATATCATATAAAAAGCAATATAAAATTAATTATTATTAGTTTGCTTTGGCATTTTGAATTTTTATTTAAGATTATATTGATTTAAAAGAATATAGGATAGCAAAGTCAATTAATTTTAAACTAAAAGAATATTGGAGTTATATAGAAAATTCAACAACTATTAGCACTTTATTAGATTCACATTCAAAACTAAAACTTTAATTAATGTAATAATGTTATAATGTTATTGCAAAAACTAATAACATTGTATAAAATGACACAATCACTAAGTCAAAATGCAATAATAATTCCTGCAAATTTACAATTACAAGACAAAAAATAATTTTTTTGAATCACTCCTTATGGAGCAAACTGCCAAAGAAATATCTGCTGAAGATTAAATTACTTGATATATCGCAACACCAATTGACTCTGACTTAGATCCGTTGGATTGGTAACGCTATTTTAAGCGAGATTTTCCGATTCTTGTAAATATGGCATTAAATATATTCTCAGAACAGGCATTTTCTAAGGCAACAAATATAATAACCAAAATTCGATGCAGATACAGCACATGTAGTAATGTGTTTAAAAAGTTGGATTCAGCAAGTACGTGACAAAAATATAAAAGAAATCGATATTGAAACTTCTATTTTTTTTAGAATCATAAATTTTTTATCTTTTTATTTTTGAAATACGAGTATGAAGCTTGTTTTTTAGAATCATAAATTTTATTTTTTTAATTTTGAAATACGAGTATGAAACTTGTTTATTAATATAAGTATTTTATATATAGCTTTTATCCAATCAAATTCATCGCATGTGACTTTTATAAATACTCCGGAGTTGCTGGAGCAGTATTGGAGCAAAGCCCACAACAATGAACCCGGAGCGAGTTCAATTTGATCGACTTCTTGCTCCACTATAATATGAACCCAATTCACTCCATTCCACTCCATTAACAACCCTACACATGAAGAAAGTTTTGGTTATGCGATAAATTAAAATTAAATAACTAGTAAAAACATTTGTTCCTCCAAAATTAAGTACAATTTCTGATCAACTGAAGTTTTTGCAGACAAAAAATGTTTTGTTTTTTCATATTATAAAATCGCCGCGTGTTTCCTCATTCAATAAAAGAAAAATAAATTCACCCAAAAAGTATTCTATTTTCAAGCATTAAATAGAAACAAATTCGACAATGACGAGTTCAAACAAACATTAAATGCTATCGGATTAAATCTCCTTTCCTAACAATCGCGTAAATAATTAGTGGCACGTGAAATTTTCACTTGTTTTTATTGCCCAGAATTATCATCGTTATTGGGTGGAATTAAAGTACATGTACGTATCATCATCATCAACATCATCAGCCTCATTCAAGTTATTATTATTATTATTATTTCTCAAAACAATAAATAAGTCGATTGATTGTCCAAGTATATTAATAATATGCTAAAAATAGAAAATAAAAAACTATATAAATACGGCAAGAACTTTTATAAATCCAAAACTAAATTTTTCACCTTTACACATTTCAAAATTCAAAATAAAAATGCCAACAGCAACAATAAGACAATCATTCACCGCTAACCTCAATAATAACTACTACAATTATTACTACAGCAAATTTATATCTAATCAAAAACAGCAATCTTCATCGAAAAAAGCAATCGACCTTTATTATATTTATAATTTATCAAAAAGTAAAATGCAATCAACAAACACTGGGCAATATGAAAAGTCGAATCTTTGTAAATTGGTTCTCATTAGTAATTTTCTACGTCAAAAAATTCTTGATCATAGAGATTCCATGAGATCTTTTGATCCTGTTGCTAATCTCATTACTGGTACTTGCACCACCAGTAATATGATATATTCACAGAAGGGTCAACATACAAATTCAAATAAGGACAATAATACCTACAACAATTACACTCATAATGTTAACACTCATGAAGGTGTGAACAGATTTATGACAAACGAAAGAAAACTACTGCCACCTCCAGGATTTACAACTACGTAGTTATTAAAATATGTAATAAATATAATTGAATAATTTTGAGTCAAAAAAGTATTGAAATCCAAATAAAAAGCTGAATCGATGTGATTTCCAGACACTTGGTACGATTGCATTGTTCGATTCGACAGGTAAAAAATATTTATCCCTTCGATACAAAATATAATGTGTTTTTGGAATATATTGTATTCTCAAAAAGAAAATAATAAATAATAAATAATAAATAATAAATAATAAATTATGGTGTCGTTTACGAAATTTACAAGGAAAAGAAGACTCGTCATTTTGATTATGCCAACGCGGTGCAACGTTGCATTTCGAAATTTCATCACTTTGCTTATTTATTTATGCGTGAATAACCACTTAGAACAAAGCAAATAAATACCGGTTCACAGAATAAATTTTTTCTTTGTTCAATTACGTATTCTGTGTTAGTTTAAACTTTATTTAGGTTCACGTGTCCCCATAATC